ATCTGTAAATCAGCGGTCTAGCTAGGAAGCGACCTAAACTCACATTTGGCCATTTTTCTGACAGAAACCATCACTTGTTGTCCTTCTGTCTATTTCTTTATCCTGACGATGAGATTCAAAGCCAACCGATGACTTAGCATCAATAATTACTACTGACCATTTTTACCACATTCAAACAGGTGTACCTTGGTCAAGCTTATTTCCATTGGCGAGAAATCTCATGGCTGATATAGCTCAACTTTATATTATAGTTTGATGGCCTTCGCCGTGGGCAAAACAGCAATTAAACTGGGGATGGAACAGTTGAAATTGAAAAAAATTATGTATGTATCAGGTTACATTTTTGGAGTTAGTTCTACAATTTTTGGACTACACAGTTGTATAGTTTACTCTCATAAGGACAACAAGCAATAACTGCATAATCNATCATTGGGCTCAGTGGTTTAAATTCGGGCAGTTTTTTCCAACCATCAAAAATGAATAGCCAATAAGAGAAAGCCTTCATTGTTACTGTTTTTAACAAACACAAAGGCGAAACTGATCTCGTTGTTGACGTGTTGAATAAATGGAGGCCGAGGTGTACTTGAACAAGATTGTATCTCAGATGCTGTGGCGTTGGATGCATTCCCAGGTTTCAAAGAGACTCTCTGTGTGCTGATCTCTGGTCATTACAAATCAACTAATACCCGATCAATATCTTGCTGGAAAGATGTGAGAATTGATTAAAAACGAAGGTGGTAAATGAAAGGATGCCGATAGAAATCAGTATCATGATCTATCTCTCTTGTTATTGTCGAGGATAGTTTTTCTCCGTGATCCGCAATTTTGATCAACGCTTGACCAAATTTTTCTCTTTTCGCCCGTGAACTTCAATAACGTGTTCAACGTCGCACATTATTATGGCTTTTTATAAAGATCTGATTATGTAACAGTTGTGCAGACAATGACAATGACGACGATCCACATGCATCTCAGTGCGTTTACACTCAAATCGATTGTTGTCTCAGTCTTGTAATGTCAGATGTGGTTCTTGGGCATTTCCACACAGGATAAACGGCTTTGAATTGATAAACGTGAACTATTTTTTGGCACCTTAAACTCGGGTAATCAAAAGTCGAACAAAATAATATTTTGGTGTGAAAAATTGGTTAAAAAAGGAGAAAATCACTGGAGAATAGTTGTTAAACTTGGAATTTCGAAAAGAGCACTTTAAAAGAAAACAAGCTTCAAATGCGTTCATTTTTTGGCTCTTACCTTAGAGATGTTACCAAATTGCCATTTAAACGTATTCTAAACTGCGTATAAAACCGTATATCCTCCACATTATTCAGGAGTAGTAAAATTTGAGCACAGCTATGATTCGGGGATGATACAGTTCCCTATGACTGTAATTACTAGTGACTTCTACATCGGAACTCAGTCGGTATTTTCTGTCCGTCACCAACCTGCAAACGATTCACTACAAATCTCAGAATTCAACACACATCGAGTCTATCTGACAATTCTGGAAACTAGCATCTCATGTTAGAGCTGATTAGGACAGAAACAAAGAGCAGTTTCATTCTTTTCATCTAAACAGATCTCCTTATCGGGTAAACGCAAATTAAAGGGATTTCAGACAGCATCTGGTGAGAACGATTCACATACAAATGCATGTACATGAAGCAAACCAGTCCAAGGGTATACTGGCAATCCAACCAATGCTTAAACACTGAACCGA